GAATAGAACTATGCCTATGCATCTGAATTCAGAAATGTTACAAATTCTTATTTGCATATTTCATTATTCTTCAATAATATAATTTTATAATACACAAACAAGTAGAACCAAATTTTTAACAAGATAAGAATCTATAAAAAAGAAGACGTGTTATACATTAATAATAAAATATTCTATAGGTCGCTAACAATATCTATCTTTTATATACCAATTTTTCGTATTCAATGTTTTAACACTAAACCTACCGAGTCGGTCAAAATGAGTGGCTGAAGACTCTTTCATAAATAAATGATTGAATGAATTTGTTAATCCAAGCAAACATTATAATAAAAATTCAACAATATAGAGCAAGACATGTTAGTTACTTTCAGAGCTCGGTAGTTTTAGTGTTAAATATTTAATTACATTACGCAAAAAAGGATAGGACAAATTAGATATAGATGAGTGAAAAGACTGGTTTGAAAGGAACAATATTTGAATATAAATAAAAATTGATATTATCTTTTCGTATTAGAGTATGAAAGATTAATGTATCCAAACCTGTACCATACAAACTGTCCACTCGCTCTTCTGTAATATTAAAAAGTACAATTATGTGTAATACATAACAGTGTTACTCAAATATTTTACAGAAGGTTCTTGTTAACCAGTATCTGCACTAATTAATACATAATAATTTAAGATTATTTATCATATTATTTCAGTAAACAATACATCTTAATACAAAGTAATATTTCTCACTTAACATGTACAGATATTAGACAATTATAATTATGTAAAGTGAAAATTTTCAATTTTGTTTAATTAAACATTTAATTTTTGTTTTAATTTGAATAAATATTTTCATAGAAATCGATATGATTAATATATTAAAAAATGTCTCTTTTCATTGTTCAGAGAGAAAAAGTCAATGAAATGTAAATGTTCACAAATGTAGATAATTTTCATATTAAAAACGCTTTTATTATACAAGGAATAAATAATACTCTTTCGCGCGCGTGCTCTCTCTCTCTCTCTCTCTCTCTCTCTCAACACATTTGAAAAACACGCATTTCAAGGAAAAATCAAATTAATATATAGGTAACGGGTAATATGGGCGAACGGCTAATAGAATATATTATTAGAGTTAAAAATATTGTTTCCAGAAGTGCCATCCTATAGAACAGAGAGAAATAAACTACTATGTTGTGAGGTGACCCAGTAAGACATCTCAATGGTTGAAATTCAACAAACATTAATGGAAGAAGAAGGACGATTGTCACAATCACATTACAAAAGTGAAGAGGAAATCCACGCGTAGCATAGAAGACAGGGTTGTAATACCAAAACCTAAAACAAGGCCAGGTGGATCAGTGAAAAAATTAAAGGAGGCAGTAAATAATGAGAAATCTGAGCAAGTTTAATCAAGTTTGTGATTGTGATGATAATGCTGATGAAGCAAGAATTACCTTACCAAAAGGAAAAAATGTAAAATTATACGATCGAGAAAAAAAGAAGAGGAGGAGAAAGATGAGATAGTTTCTCAGATTTTAATAATAAAAAGATCAGTATCAGTCGAGATAGACGAAGATACCTTCTCGGTGTGCGACCACGAGGCGACATGGTCATAACCCATAGATATTTATACATATATATCAATGTTATTATAATAAACTAATATTAATAGTAATGGTATATATTTAATAACCACCATTTCTCTATCAAAAGCGTTTTAAAATAACATATGTTTATATGTGTTCAAAGAAATGCAAGTTTGTTACTTTGTACAGATTTTTATAAATAACGTCATAGTTCCGTTATAAACAATACCGCGAACATTAGTAATTTTGAAGAGAAGTCCCATCTTTCAAACAATATCATTTTGTAGTATCATATTAATATGTAGAATAAGACTTACAGAATATACCACCCCTTCTATTCATGTAAAAAAGACTAGTAAAATTGTGTCATATTTTATAAACTTTTTAATCGAATTTTAATGTAATCTTGTATAAAAAGAACATTTGTA